CAGAAATGGCTTTCATCGTTGCAATACGACGCTGAGATGACAAGAACATCTTCATAATTAGATATCAAGAAGTTAGCTTGCTTACTAAAAATTATTTACTTACTTATAAGCAAAACTCTAGCCTCGTGTGGAGTCTCCATCCATTAGCCCATAGCAACGTCCCTAGCAACGGTTTGTTTGGACCCAGACGCCCTGTTATGACGTCATCACTTACGGGGTCAATTTGTGTCAGCACACTAGCGCCACTTGAACCTATAGCGTACATTATAATAACCACCGACGTCCGCGTCTACGTCGCGCCATTTCGAAGTGGCCCAAATACACAGGACCTTTCGTTCTAGCTTATTATATTAACTCTATGGTGCTTCCGGATATGGCACCACGCGTTACAAGCGTCGCTAACTCGGTCGTCTGCGAACCTGGCCGCCGTTGACCCTGGAATGTTTGTAGGTCCCATTTTTTCCAGAAAGCGAGCAATTCCTTAAAATTCCATCAGCTAAAAAGCACCCTCCTAAAGCAAATTCGGTTAAAGCTTGAGCTGTCCATGCGCAGGCGTCGAGTTTTCCGACTGGTTTTACAGCGTCCCCTGGATCTACCCTATATTACACTAACATCCAATAGGTTCGAGTCTCTAGCGACTCAGTTACATCAAATTTTATTTTTGGCCTGTCCTTACAGTACCACTTAGAAGACAAGGGCTGCGCATTACGTCATTGTTAGTAGATTCCCCGGCCACCCCAAGCGCAAACACGCTGATGCTGGACGAGAGCCGCCCTCACGCGACAGAAAGGTGTTCGTCTCGGCGTCACCACGTCCTCACGTGGCGCTCGTTATGTGACGCTGCAAGACGCGCTGTCTTCGATGCTGACGCAAGATAGGCGGCGCTGCGTGGCTCTACTAGTGATGGCATGGGAAGGGGGTGGGGGGGAGGGGATTGCCTCCTAGGTGCTATTGATCCTAACACCATTAAGCAGACGATGACACTACATCACAAGTGCCGGCTTTCCTATTACTTTTTGGTTATGAGGAATGCAGACTTGTACGTAGTTCAAATACTCTACTCAAGTTGCTGTAGTCTAACTACTTTTCTGAGTAGTTTAGTAACTTTTCATTACAACGTTATTTTGGTAATTAGTAGTTTAATTACTTTTTCCGAGTAACTCCTACTCATATTCCAAATTACTTTTGAATTTTAGTGCTAGGTTTGCTGATCAACAAACATTACTGCTCAAAAATAGATAAGATGTCGGAATGTCAGTTGATGTTTGCAAAGAGGGGGAACCATTAGGCGTATGCGGGAAACGGGGGGGGGGGGGGGGGGGGAGGGTAGATTGGAGAGTCCGAAACCCTCTAAAATTTTCACGAGCTCCCCACTGCAACAACCCTGCTACGAGGCGCGGGGAGTGGACAGACACGTCGCAAGTGAGGCTCAGTAAATGCGGGATTAGCACCGAAGAATGGCACTACTTTGAGTCCCGAAACTCAAGGAGACTTGACGCGTTCAAAGATAGGGTTAGTCCCCGCTTCTCCTAACGTAGAAACTCTCGCATACTGCAGGAGGTGTATACACTGAAGCCTCACTCAAAGAAGTCAACAAAGTGCAGCACTCGCTCTAAAGCCCATCTGGTGCTCCCGTAGTTTGTGCTGTACTTGAAGAATCGCCTGCTAAAGGGCAAAGCAAAGGTGACCTCTTTGCGTTGCCTTTCCTGCCAAAACTCAGGATATGCAGGTCTTCGAAGATTCGAAGATCGTTCGAGAAGCTTAATAATTCCCCCAACGTTCTTACAAAAAAAAGAAAAAGTTGAATTGGGAAGTTCTTTACGAACATGGTACTGAAAGTACTATTTCAAGTAGGATAAGAAAACTTGTATTTTGCTTACATTTTCTGAGCATGTACTTGTACTTTAATAACGTATTTCTTTTTCTGGTAAACTCTGAAGAAAGTAAAATTCCCGACTTCAATGTACATTCCCCGAATTCGGAAACAAAGAAAACAAAATGGCGTATCGTCAAGTGAAAACGCGCTATCGTCTTTCGAGACGTCATCTGGTTATTTCTCTGAGAAGTAATGAAGTCTATAAGACCGGTACGAACAAGTGCCTTACAAGTGTATTGTGTTAAATAGGTCGTCAACAAAAGTAAAATAACAACTCTGTGGCGACTGGCCAATATTGGCCGCCGTTTCCGGAAAAAAACTGATGCTCCTTCGATTACCCCTGGAGCAATGCATACCAGTTAAAATAAAGTAAAAATGTATAGGGTATGAAAGGGCATCATGAAAGATCTTTTTAAAAAAGTATTTGTACTTGACTTTAAAAGTATGTTATATTTATTGTAATTCACTTCAAGTACATTGCACCGGGTGTACTTACTATACTTGAAGTACATAGCCTCTAATTGACTTTTTGATATTGCTTCAAGTACTTTTTCCTTGTACTTGACGCAACATTGTAAACCAGCAAACACTGTCTGTAAAATCAAGCTCAGGCAGTGCTAAACCTTAAAGTAGAAATGATATATCCACAGTACATCCTTGACCAGAAAACAAAAAGTACAAAACAATCACACAGAAGCAGAATTCCCTATTGGAAATTCTCATTTGTATGAGAAATTTCTGTGTCCAATAAACACATATGAATCATACAAGATATATAAGAACATATAGGAACCGTATAAGAACCATATAAGAACTATATAAGAACTATATAAGATATATGAGAACATACAAACACCATATAAAAAACTGGTGGGAAGTTTCTTATATGTTTCTTATGGGGCTCTTATATATCTGATATAATTCTTATATAGTCCTCATATAATTCTTATATGGTTCTGATATGTTTTTATATATTCTTATATATCTTGTATGATTCATATGTGTTTATTGGACAGAAGAAATTTCTCATACAAATGATTTTTTTTACTAGGGAACCAGCTATTAAAGCATTTATGTGAAAACACAAGCCGCTTTATATTTGGCTAGCAGAATTTCGCTAACGGATCAAAACATTTATGTACTTGCTTGTTCCTATAAAACTATAAAAGTAACTTTAAAAGTAATTTGCCACTTTGCTGCGGTAGTTAGTAATTTGCTAAATTACTTTCCATTCAAGTAACTTCTACGCTACTCAAATTGCTTTTGAGGCCAATACTCAGTAACTTAACTTAATTACTTTTTTTTAGTAACTTGTACATGTCTGGAGGAACCTAACGAATTACTGTTCTAGGCTGGTAATTTAGCAATGTAATGAATTACTTTCAGGCAGTAACTTTAAAAAAATACTACTCATTACTTTTGTCTCAAATGAAAAAGTTCGTTTCCGAGCTTCAAGAAAAAAAAAGAGTAAAATTATATTGCTTGGTGAAACGTTGTGAAAAAGACATCAGAGCAAATAAACTACGGCCATCTGATCGCAGAGCCTCGCAGGAAGGACTTGACGCACGCACAAAAAAGGGCTGAAAAGGGAAAGGAAAAAAGCTTAGGTGTAAAAACATCGTAGAAGGCCACGTCTCACGAACTCCAAGCAAGACAAATTCACGGCGTCACGTCATCACGAAGATACCATGTTTCTTTCGTCCCTAAGCTGACAGTGCGGTGGGAGCTACGAGCTCACCAGAACCAATCAACCACCTTTTTCTTGATGCCCTGACCCGTCCTTTTCTCTGTGCGTGGGTGTGAACAAGAGCGTGGTTACGTGGCGAAAGATAGACGTGTGACTGTTTCAACGAGGACGTAGCTTCCACCGCACTCTCAAGTCGGGGAAGAACGGCTTATAAGCTACAAGGCGAAGGGAACATAACAAGTGTGGTCAACACATTTAAAAAACCTGAGAGGAGAGGACGAACAGATCCCCCAGCTTTCTTGCACTTTTGTCAACTAAGGTCAAACCGCAAGCTTCGATCATTGTGAGCAACGAAGGACCGGAATAAATAGTTCATCCCAAGTGCCTCGTCAAGGTCCCAGAACGTTCCGTTCGTATCCTTGGCCTTGTTAAGTAAAGGTGATTTTTGTATTCGGTAAAGACGGGAATCGAGCAAAGCACTTGCCGCTTCGTAGTATGCTTCGCTGCCTTTCCTTGTGACGTTTATTCGAGAATAAGCGCACGAGCAGATATCCCCCCTCGTTTGCTGGGAGAGTACACATTTTAGGAAGCTCGCTGAATCCCTTTCCTCAAGTGGCGACGATTCGGCCTGGCAAATATCCAGGCCCTTTGTTTGACAGCGCGCAATAACTTGGGCTCTTCGGGTGCTTGGGAACGATGCTCCTTGAGTGGTACGACCGGGAATAAGTCAGCTAGTTCTCTTGGGAGAATATAATAAGACTACATGCCCGGCGGAAGGGAAATGGTTCACGTGACGACTCCTTGTAAGAACGAGCTCTCTTGGCCCGACTTAACACACTGACTCAGACTATGATTCCTTCTAAATCAGGAAGGCGGAAACGTAATAAAATTTAGCTAAGGACCTTCACGTTTGAATGAACAGCAAAACCGGTGAGTCGACTGTCTTTGAGTCGCATCTAAAGAAGAAGCTATATTCATCATGTTTAACATTTATCGTGTACGCCAGCAAAACGACAGTTCAGTATGGTTCACTTTGAGGTGCATATTGTGAATGCGGTGAAAATAGAAAGATCGGAGTGTCGGTACATATACTGTAAATAAAATGAGCACTAATTACGGCCTCGATGTATCCAAAAGTAATGCCAAAGTAATTTAATTACTTTTGGAAAGTAATTGGAATGCGACATCACTACTTTTAGTCTGCGGTTTTTTGTAACGTAATTTAATTACATTTTAGCAGTTTTCAGAGAAGTAAATAGTAATATTTATTCATTAATTTTTTGAAGTAATTTGGTCATCTCTGACGTAAGGTGTTGAGTTGGTTCGCTAGATTCTCGCGAAAGTTTTAGAGTCTGCGTGAGGTGCCGCGAAAGAGAGCGATATGCCAGCCACCGAGGCGGCCCGTGGCCTCGGAACTCGGAGCCGTGCAGCGCTTACGATCTGAACGTCCTTGGGCGGCGGTTCGGGCTCTGGGGGCTGTTCGGGCCAGGAGTGGTCGTCCCCCTCTTCGGGTCCTGCCGGAGGGGAGGTACCGACCGGCTCCTCGCAGCCGGGTGGCTGCGCGCCGCCCTTGCGGCGCCGGTGCTCGGATGGCTCGTGGCTCAGGCTCAAGGGCTGCAGTCGAGCGCGCAGTTGGGAGAATCAAATTATCTGTCTGCCAGCGCCATATATGTGTCACTACTGTGTGATCACTACTGCGTCGTGCACGTTAGAGACCCCAGGCTAGCAGTTGTACTGCACTGGCTCAATTTCTCATGTACAGTGGGTAACAATTTCGCTATCTTCTGGCAGGCTGACCTTCACTGTTTAAACACCCAACGATTACTTACCTTTATTACTTATTTCCTCGTGTGGTCCCCACTTGTTTTTGCCTAAATTAAGCGTTACGTACCACTTCACACTCTATCGAGACATTATTCATTTGTGGTTAAAAAACCATGTGCACCGCGATTGGTGTAACGCGGTGCTATAAACAGCATCTGTGTTGTTTTGGGATTTTCCGCGCGCGGGGCATCGCTCTGCGGTGACGTCGCTCGCTTCTGGCTTACATGTGTCTCCCGCTTGAGTCTTCGCTGTTCTTCGCTCCGCTGCTAAGGATATATTCACCGAGTGTGGCACGACCGGTTTCGTGCTAATGCTTCTCGAAGACTGGGGACTGGGCACTCCGACGGCGCATTCTTTCAACCACCCACCTCGCCCGACTTGGCCTTGCGGTGCGTGCTGCCGAAGCGTCCTCGGTGAGAATCCAGGAAGTCGCCGATGATTCGCAGCGGACTGCGGCGGCTCTTGGCAGCTGCCCGAGAGTCGTCCATCTCCTTGGAGTCGGAACTCCTGTCGTCGGAGTCGTCGCCCGTCTTGGAAGATCCATTCACTGCGTGCGCAGGGGAACACCTTGTGTATCGCGTTTATCGAGGAGGCCGGTTCCCTAAATCGCGAAATACTCGTACGCGACGGACAAATTTGTTGCCTTGGTTAACGGAGGCTTTCACCGATTTGTGGATTGTATAGTCGAGACTGAAAGAGCCCTCAGAAGCAGGTGACGAATGCGTGACCCTTCAGCGGCCAGGAACACCCGCAGGCGCGGTGTGAGAGCTGCTCGCGAACAACTGCCGTATACTCCGTTTCACGATAACCTGGCGGACTGTGAAGGCTGAGGCCCCCGCGACCCAATAAGAGCCTCGAAGCAAGGCACGTGACAACACTCCATAATCGAGGTGCCGCCGAGCCCTCATTAGCACCACAGCAACAGCGCCGTCCGCAACAAAAAAGTTCTAGGCTTTCTTTTCTTTAATTTTACTAGTGTTGTGTTAAGACTCTTCTGACCTGCACTACACGACACAAAAGAAAGACGAAGACATGTTAAAGATACTTAATACTGATCAACCCTTTTCCGAGCACAACATAGCTTTTGAACGATATTTGAATGATCACAGCAGAGTAATCCACCGCTTCAGCTCTAAATATCGCACTGGGCCCTGGCATTAGCACCCGCCACAGATTCGCGGATAAATTGAGCGTATGGTCGTTTCATGAACTGTTCCCGAAGAGCTCACTACTCTAGCGGACGGCAATGTTGCACCGGTGAATGTTTATCCGGAGTTGGTTGTTTTCGCAACAGACGACAGCCGGTCTCTTCCCGGCCTCGCATTTGGCGCAGTGACACGAACGCTCCAGTGACGTATTGTCACGGGCCTCGCTCCGATGCTCTTATTGGGTTGCGGGAGGCGTAGCCTCCACAGTTCGCCAAGTTATCGTGAAACGGAGTATAACTGCACCTTTTCGACTGGAGGGTGTTGTGAAACGCCACCAACTCGCCCAGCCGCTTGGTGCTGACGCGTATAGCATGCAAAGAGTCGTGGTGTCAAGTCTTACGCGTGTCTGCAGTAAGCCGTTCTTTGATGATCACGCGCAAGTCAGTGCACAGCTGAACACAAGAAACCTTTTACTCGGCATTTTTCGCGCCGGACGCTGGCGTTCCGTGTTCTAACGCGTTTGACGAATGCAGTGGAGACAAAGGAAGCCAGCTTTAGGCCTACCCACTAATCATTCTAACCAGAGCTCGACGTTCGGACATCCCCGCACGCTCTCGTTTCCTCCTCTCCCTCAGTTTCTCGGCGCATTCGCTGCGCTCGTCATCGGAAGACGCCGACATTTGTAGCGCATTGACCAAAACCGGGTTTCCATGCTGAAGTGAAGTTACGACGTCCCAAATGCCTAAATCGATGTGCACAGTGTGTGTTCGAATAACTAATCTTAATATTCAACACGTTTCTCTTTTAACTGATTGCTTTAACAACCTTTTGGCGGATCGGTAAAATTAAACCTTCACATAATACTGGGAGTAAACGAGCTATTGATTATATGACCATTTCCTTAACATGTTCAGTTAGCAAGCTAAGTTGAGCACATGATCAATGAACACATGTTTGAATATATCGAATGACGTAACGTGTCGTGGAACAGGGAACGATTCTCACGCAAAAGTGCGAAGCAATTGTGTCAGACATGTGGGTATTCCTCATCGCAGGAGCGCTGTGAGAGGGCAAGGATGACCTCAACAAATCCACGCTGAGGTGCGTCTCAGAGCAAAAGCGTTTACTCGAAGATACTTTTCCTTAGAAAGTCGGACGAGAGTGTTGACGTAGATACTACTATGATGAACTGAAATGAAAGCCTGTACATGTCTGTCCTTGTCCCTTCTTTTTGTTTGGGTTTTATTTTATTAGTACTTATTTTTATGTCGACCTTTCAAGGAAGCTGAAACAAACTTGATGATAAAAATTATGGTGCACCGTGCATTTACGAGGGCGCCCATCAAACCACTTTGACATAGTTGCTGCGAGGCAGCTATGTAGTTGCCTCGCCTCAGACACGATCACATGGTCGTGTCGCCGCGGGGTCGATCGGGACCTCGAATTCGGCTCCCGACATGCCGCTTTCTCTCCCAGCCGCTGGATGGCGCTGCAGGCGCCCCACGGCGGGCGAGGAGAAACCTCCTCGCCCATCGACCGAGAATTGGAGAGGGGCGACGGGCCTCTTAGAACTACGGATGCTACAGAAACTCAGGCAAGTGTGGGGCGACCGGATCTAGGGTAATCGCGGGACACGAGGCCTGGGGGGCCCTCTTTGTGTTTAGCTTTGGGCTTAAGGCCCGTTCACACTCTTGCAACCGAGTACGACCGAGAGAGACCAAACCGGTTTTTAAGCCTCTTGCGATCTCTTAGGACCAGCTCCGCTCAGCGCATCCGGTCCCAAGAAGTCTTTCTCGGTCGTACTCGGTTGCAAGAGTGTGAACGCGCCTTTAACGTGCGAGTGTAAATATTTGTGTAATATCGCGTGTAGTTGTAGTTTAGATTGAGTGTTTTGTAGCGTTGTGTTTTATGTACCAATAAACGGGGAGCGGCATCCCGCTCCCGGGAAAGAACCAGGCTGGACTCGGGTTGTTGACGGACCATGTGGGAACTGGCGTATCGGCGGCGGTACGCGAATTCCTACAAATGCCGGCTAATAAGTCGGCTAATTAATTAAAAAATGTTAATTAACTTCTTAATTAGTGAAAGCAGACATATAGTTCCAATTAGAGACTTGCCGAGCATCATCGAAAACCACCAAATCAACTATTTTTAGAAGGATATAACGCCGGGGCAGCATCTTCCGGCGTTTCTAGATTTCGGTTTCTTATCGGAGCGCATCCTTGCGCCCGCGGTCCTGCTCCCCGGTGGTCGCGGCGCGAAGCCGCCCCCTCGCCTCCCTTGTAGATTAGAGGGAAGTAGGGCGCAGGTGTGTTGCGCGTCTCAGCCGCTGGGGAGCAGGACCGCGGGTACGGTGATGCGCTCCGATAAGAAACCGAAATCTAGAAACGCGTCCAAATGGAGCGCTTTTACAGAACGCCGTGAAATGCTGCCCCGGCGTTATATAGTTCCAAAAATAGTTGATTTAGTAATTTTCGATAATCCTCTACAAGTTTCTAATTGGAACCATATGTCTATTTTCAGTAATTAAGAAAGTTAATTAAAATTTTAAAATTAATTAGCCGACTTATCGCGAAGATTTGCCACCTACATAATGTCCGCCGGGCCGTATAACCCACCTGCACAAACAGCATTAGTCTAGATTTCACGTTTTTTTTTTTTTTTTTTTTTTTTTTAAATGTGTAAGAACAAAAAAACAAAATCCTGTATATATATATATATATATAGTTATCGGCAACTCCCAGGACAGGTACCTCCATCACCACTTTTATTCATATGACCGAGCCGCCCCTGCCTTCATCACCATCCGCGGGGCGTCAACATTCGACATCGAGAAGGAGCTGGCCAGCGAGCTAGACAAGTTCGGCACCAAAGAGGACGCTCTGTTGGTACGGACGCCTGGTCAAGAACACCCTGCGAGCCCGCCCGGGACTGCACAAGCTTGTGGTGTCTCTCCTGCTGCAGCGGCTCACGAATCGTCGCTATGAGACACCGAACGACCGTTTCATCCTGTGGCTCAACACCCAAGCTAGCGAGTTGAACGAGACAGTCAAAGGCTAATGCCGGAGGCCAAACCTTTCTCGACGACGAATTCACGTCGCTCCAACATCAGCGATTCATGGCCGCTAATGGACTCCACCCAAGCTTCGCGGGGTGGAGCTCGAGTTTTTATCGGAATCATATATCTAGTTTCACTAATAAGTAAGTTTATGATTATGTATAATCTTAAAACTCGAGAACAGAAAAAAATACGCGTTTCTTGTCAGACTTATCCGAGTTAGTGCCGAACGATCACGTCTATTAACCCGACACATGGAATATTGGAAGGTTACCGGCTGTAAGACAAACTATGGTACACAAACACTACGTTACACTATACCTAAATTGCTCAACTACCTCGCCAGCAACGAAATTTGTATAGACTCTATATAAACTAAAGATTTGCGTTAATTCTATTTGCGCTTGTGATTCTTCATTGATGCCCACTATGTTACCTATTATCTACTTGTTTGTTTGAACTGTATAGGGTTATTTTTTTAGGGCTGCAACAGTGTCTACTGTGTTGTGTTTATGATAATTCTGATAAGTTTTGTCTTTCTTATAAATATGCGCGTGTGTGCTTCTCTCTCTCTTTTTTTTTTCTTGTACTGCTGCGCCTGTCACCATATGCTGCAGCAGCATACGGTGACCGTGTACTGCTGCGCCTGTCACTCCGGGCTCGCCAAGCCTCCCACTGGAGGCTCTTTCCCTTCTGTCCCTCCAATTCATTTGGAAAATAATGTTATTATTATTATTATTATTATTATTATTATTATTATTATTACTATTATTAATATTGGTATTATATGACTTATTGTGATGATTAGCCCCTATATTATGCCCCCTAGCCATATAGCTCTCCTGCACAAACCGGATAAGTTTAGCTTTTACGTTTTTCTTAACAAATCTGCTATTGTTAAAAAGAAACACCCGGTAAATATGTTTTAGGTAAATCCATACATCCACCTCGAAACCCGTGTTGATGTCAAATAAAACCAGCCTCCTTCAAGTGCGACTTTGAAGCATGATTTTATTGGTCAACGTTAGTCTAAATCCAGATTGAGAATCCATAACTATTCTAAAAGCTAGTGACACTTAGTATTACAATATCTCTAAACCTTTGTGGGGGCATACGTTTTTTGTCACGAATGGATGGAAGTTTTTTATGCGCTAAAGTATATGTAAAATTTTTAAACACCCTTTTGTTTTTCTGCCATTCAGCGTAGTACCCAAGGCTTAAGAACGCCCGAAAATAATCGGTTACTCTGCTTCTCGCGACGTACACCACGCATGCCCTTTTTGTCCAAGATGCTAAAACAGCGAACAATATATTTTGGTGAAGCTCGCAGAAAAATATCGT